TTAGGTCCTTACAACAAGAGGCAGCAGTGTGGTATTCTGCTGCGAGGGGGGGGGGGCAACTAACCTCACTCAACTCCAGTTGAGAGTCTGCCTCTTCCACCTGGACAGGCACCCCACACCCCACTACTGCACCCACACGGCTCAGCCTTCCTTATCAGTACCACTTGCCTAAAAGTGCATTGTAGCAGGCAGTGGACAAGAGGAAAACTGTACCTCCACCACACCCCTGTGCTCTGCCAGCTGTACGACCAAGGCTGCAGTTGTTCCCAAGGCAGGCAGCTCCACCTACACCTGCCCCTGTCCATGTTGTCCTCTACCCCACCCCTGCCATTAGTCCATTTACTGTAGATGAAAATTGTGTTCTACAACATTATATGGGGAGGAAAGCCTATAACAGTAAAAACTCTCAACGAACCTCCTTTTTCTTCAAATTTTCCAATTGTTCTTCTTCTTTTGGGCCAGAGTTGAGCTGGGTCTGGAGTTCTGAGATGGTCTTGGGCTGAAGATTTAGGACAAAACTGTCGTCACCGGGTTTGGATGGGCTCGCTTTTGGGAGTGGAGCTGCTTCTCAGTTGGTGGCTGGTTCTTCCTCCAGGATGCTGGTTTAACCAGGGTCTGTTCTATTGTTTTGCTGTTCAGAGATGTCTCGCCAAAAAAACGTAATTAATTTAAATTGACCATTGCAGGATTGCTCTGATAGTGTCTCTAGAGTTTAACAAAGGATTTGGCTTAAATAAAACTTGCTTTCGACTTTGCTACAAAAGGTTTCTGTTGTTCTAAACTTCCAATAAACGTAGAGGGTTCAACTTTGGTGTGTGTTCCTTCAGGTCACTTCCTTGCCGGTTTAAAAGAATAGATTAAAAAATCACTATACATTGCTAGATAACAAAAACTCTTCTTCTGGCAATGTGAGCACGCTGTTTGAAGGTACCGATCTGCTAACCCCTGGACATATAAACAGAGCTTAACCTCTCACACTAAGGTGGCATATTTGAAACCTATCAAAGCTTCAAACACTGCTTGAGGTTTTTTAGGTGGCGATATCCACTCCGTAACTGACTACCATGAACCTGCAAACAGAGTTCCCTGCAGACCTCCCTCTTGCATGTTATTAATTCAGGACAAGACCCCACATCCTTCCAGAATTAATAACAATCTGCAGTTACAGGCAGCTACCTCCTTAAACCTTCAGATGTCACCCTACTGAGAAAGTTTTAGAAGGCAGTATACTTTGGCTCTTTGAGGAAGTGTTTAGTTTAATCTGAAATAACCCATAAAAGCATGACATTGGACACATAAGACCATGATTTTATTAGCTGACATTTAACTTCCTAGAAATAGACACTCAATTACAGTGTATAAGATGTAATAAGTAGATGAAAGAAAGTCACTTTCAGTTTTTTCCTGTTTTAGGGGTCGCCACAACGAATTGTCACACTGACAACTCGCATGTTGACATTTGGCACGTGTTTTATGCCGGATGCCCTTCCTGACGCAACCCTGACTCTAACCTGAGCCACAGCGGCGAGTGCGCTGCGCCTTAACCACTAGCCTACCAGGGACATATGATGTAATAAGTAGATAATTGACTAATTTATTCAAAGTATTTTCTAATGCAGTTCTTTTTGAAAACAAAGTCAACAATCTGAGTTTATTAATCCATCATCACTACTTCACACATATCAGAGATACTTTTAAATCCTAACACCTCTTTAGTCTTCAGAAACAGCATTCTCTATCACACATGCAGAGTTTAACTTCTTTTAGAGTAGCGAGATTAAATCCATTAGAAAGTCACTTTTGGCTTTTCCCATTTTAGAGGTCGCCACAGCGAATCGTCACACTGACGACTCACATGTTGACATTTGGCACGTGGTTTACGCCGGATGCCCTTCCTGACGCAACCTGGATTTGAACCCAGGCCCGCCTTAACCACTAGCCTACCAGCGAGATTAAATCCAATGGGTAACGTAAAATATATTCCACAAAAAACCAACGTGTACTGCTGGCTAAGTGTCCCTGACCTACCTTGTGTTACAAGCGACCAGATCACAAACATTCTGGCGGCATGCGTGTAGTTCTCTAGCCCAGTGACCGCGAGTTCTCTCCCCCAGGGCTCTGTGTCTCAAAGGTGGCAAGGGCTCAGGTCCTCACCCACTCCTCCCTGGGCCGGTATACATTGGAAGAAACAGCTGCTTTTCCTTAAATTCAAAGTACCCCTTTTTTACTTTAATCAAATATATGGTGTTAAACTGATTAAACCTTAAGTAAGGGGCTAAAACCACCAAAATCTTATTTTTGAGGAGAAACAACCATTTCCTATGTTCCTCTCATGGTGCTGGCCAGCGTAGCGGGTTGTAAGTAAGGAGCAGACAAGGTGTAAGCCTTTGCTGCGGTGGTCTGAGGACAGCTGTGCTCTGTCTGGATCCACAGATCATCACAGGTCTCCCAGGTTAGGTTCACTCTGGTGCTCTAAACAAAATGATCAATTGAATATAAGTTGACTATAGGTAGGTCTCCCTGAGGAATACATTAGGACTGACGCAGGGGATAGATTAAATGTTGTCACATGAATGTCCCAAGATAAAAATTTTAAGAATTATTTAATACTAATAAGACTAATATTTATTTTCATTCTAAGCCTTATATCTATCAATCTTTAGAGTGTTAACATGGGTCAAAAAGCTGTTGGTTATTCTTCCTCAAAATGAAGCTATTCTGGGGGAGAAACAAGAGTTAAAAGATTTATCCTGTTTATTCTAAAATTATTCCTTACATCTAACAAAACCTTTTAGGATGAACATCACTGAAATTAAATCCTGTGAATTGTTTAATTAAGAGAGAAATAATAATCCTTCAGAAAACATTTGCCTTTGTGTGTGTGTGTGCTGGTGGTCTGACATAATGTAATAAAATCCTGTTTGATGTGTCAAACCTAGTCTGTGGTGGTGTTGGTCAGAGCTGTTTCTAAGGAAAGCCCAATGTAAGCCTTTGATGATGATGTAAAAACATAAATTGTAATGGTTAACTTTATGTCAAGCATATTCCCATGAGAAAGAAGACTTTATGATATGCAGCTATGTGCTGTAAAATAATAAAATGATAAACCTCCAGAAACTGGGATGTGGGGGTGACAGGTGCAGTACTTTATTACTCTCTCTCACCTTCTTACAAGAGGTGTATATTTTTAGGTTAAGGTATGTGATGCCGTGTATAATTAAAAACAAACAGGTTAGATAACCACACTGAAAATAAGGCCCCCAAAGTGCAATGTCAACACAACAATAGAGAATGCACCTGTGATCATTGCAACAAACGGTACTTTCTAGTTAAAGCTAATTGCATCAACAAGGTTATAAAAATAACCTTTATAAATAACACCAAAGAGAGGATACAAAAGGATCAGTAGGATACTGAACATAAACTGGAAAACAGTCACAGCAGTGGTTAGGAGGCAGAGGAAGATTCATACTACTATACCAATATCAGAGGGTGCAGTGGCCATTACTCACAAATCTCCAAGATTAAACTTTGACAGAGAGCTTGAATAGAGGCCTAATGAATATTACATCACATTGTTTGATCAGATGAAACCGGAATAAATGTGTTTGATCAATCATTTGTGAAAAGCAGGAGAGCGTCTTTTCACTTGTATAATCCATGTACAAGAAAATTAATGTCATCAAAAATATAGGCAGACATAAAATATTTAAAAAAAAAGAGAAGAAAAGAAAAGAAAGAGAAGCTCACTGACAAAGGATATAAGTATGTTTGTTTCACTTGGTTCTTAAATGTGAACCTTTTTTTGGCTTTATCAGACATTTCTGTTTTTCATATTAATTCATTCTTCTTGGACTGTGGTTAAAAATAAATAAAATTGTAATTTTAATATCAGCAGGACTTGTACCTAATTATGCTGGATTTATAGTCAACAAAAGGGCTAACAGGAGTCCCACCTTAGGTATACACATCATAGGTTTTGATTTATAGCTGAGCATCAGATTTCACCCACTAACATCACATATACAATGCTTCACACATGCAGCACTGTACATGATCTGGCTGCACTATGATTAACTGTATATTCCTCATAGTAACTGTGTTTGTGATAGAGTGACAATGAATAATACACATTTATTGAATTGAAATTACAAACAGGTAACTTAACATTATTTTGCTGTCTTGTTACTGAATAGGAGACTACTGCCATGCAGGCCCTTTGTTTGCATTGATTCATTCATATAGAGCATAATAGCTGTGCCTGAAAAGAAGACTACTAAGAGTCTTTCTTTAATTTCAGTGGGGTCTTTTTAAAACTGTAGTTAATTTGCACCAGTCCAAATCAATAGATCAGTTTGAAAAATTGATCGGTTTTCCCCTTGGTTTGGTTTCTCTTCACTCAGAAATAAATCCAAGAGAACCAAAATGTATCACTACAGATCATGCAAGAATGTTTCCTCCATCCATTGGTTAAATGTTTCTGGGCCAAGAACAAGAATATAAATACAGATAGTAGAGTCCTCATAAATATTCCTATAAAAGAAATTTTCTCTGCAACATAGAGAAATGGTACAATTGGTATTTGCTCGTATCTGTGGTAATTATCTGGGCAATCGGGCGAAGGCAGGATACACCCTGGACAGGTCGCCAATCCATCGCAGGGCTAACACATAGACGAACAACCACGCACACGCACATACACGCGCACATGCACACGCACTCCTATGGGCAATTTAGAGACACCAATCAACCTAAGCTGCATGTCATGTCTCCGGAGTACCCGGAGAGAACCCACGCAAGCACGGGGAGAACATGCAAACTCCACACAGAAAGGTCCCGGGTGGAACCCGAACCTGGAGCCTTCTTGCTGTGAGGCAACGGTGCTAACCATTGCGCCACCGTGCTGCCCGCTTGTGGGTTATGGGCTAGGAAATACATTACGTCATTGAGGGTTCTCACAAGCATAGAACAACAAACAGGAGTGTGTTTATGTCTCTTACCGAGCCACCTGGTTGATGACAGGAGCAAAGTTGGTCGGGCCATACAGCTGAACAGTTCGCAGGCTCTGGAAATATGCTTCTAGTACACCATCGATCCCCACACAGTTTGGGTTTTCTGGGTTTGAGTTCTGTAAGGGAAGCAATGCCATACATTGATGGTGTCATTCATTTCCAAATACGTTTTGTAGCTCTTGCAAAATTTGACTGAGAATAATTAACATCTCTACTTTCTTATTTCTAACACATCCAAAAACACACAGACATGCCCCCAGTTTCTTTTTCATTCCTTGAAATGCTCTCCCTTCTTCACTATGGTAAATCACAAGCAGAATCAGCTTTATTGATTTGCACTAGAGTCTGTACCAGAGTTTGACTCTGATACAGTGGCTCTCAATCTGTATGCACAGGTATTTCAGTCTGTCTTTCTGAAGAATAAAGAAAATTAATCATTACTAATTGTTTAGCTGAATGTGTAAGGCAAGGGTCTTGTGGATGTTTTGGGCTTCATGCAAGAACACTGTCATACTCTTAAACCTCTTGTTTTTTTTCTATAAAGCTTATAGAAAAATGTTCACACTTCAGAGCTTTGACACTGTGTTGCTGGGAATCAGAAAGACAACACATTTAGCCCCTCCTTTCCATGTTGTTTAAATGATGAAAGGCAGACATGACTCACCACAAGCATGGACCACTCATGCATTTTTTGTGCCAAGGACAAGCTACAGTATTCTGTACACGAAAACAGGTGAATGCAAAAAAGTTTTTTTAGATCATTACATTTCACTTAAAAATGTATCATACATTGGCTCTTACATGATGCCTAATGTGTCCCAATTCCATGCATTTTGAATATAATATGTATTGTTTTGGCAGTTAGTATCCATGAAATCTACAGTATGTTTCCAAATGTTATACTCTTGGGAAATGATACATATTATATGTACAGTGAAACAAGATCTTGCAACACTGCTGGAATGATATATTTGAAGTCACCTAAAATAGTAAGGAATACTTTTTTCCCACAAAACAATTGATTATTCACCACATCCTGGAGCTGTCACACCACCCTCCACAGTGATCAGCTTTGTCAGTTCTGCTGTGTGCTGTATTTTACAGCAGTCTTAATCTGCATGCTGGCATTTTAAAATATGCAGTTTTGTTATTCTTTTCACTATGTAGAAATTTCAGATTAAAAACATGAATAGAATTAGCATATAGTGTGAAATAGAGACACAGCAAAGGTCCTAGATGGCCCTGTGATGGTAAATGCTGTCTAATCTTTTCATAGTATTTCTCATATCCAGAATGTAGTGAATAGAGCAGAATTGTCCAAAATGAATACAGTATGCTTCCATCAAGAGCATGAAAATGATGGAAACATTTATGGCTGCATGCCAGAAACCACATTCAACATTAATAAAATAAAAAAATCCCACATGATGCTGACATAGTGTGCTTATGTGTCTGTGCAGTGGCCTGATACATTAGCTGTTTATGATTAATCATCTCTTTTTCAAAGGCAGGTTCATGCACACGCTCTAAGGATTTCTGCTATGTCTTTCCAAGATTACTTTTAATTTCCCCTGAGACTTAATTTTTTGTTTAATAATATGGATTTTTCTTAAAGTACCAAAACCAGATTCAGAAGCCAGTATTAGCATTAACACAGAGGTACTCTGCAATAGAAGCTCCAAGTTAATCAATGTAAACTAACCCACATAAAAGACAAATATTCTATCTAATGTCCTTAAGACATGTGTGGCTGCCTCAAGGTACACAGACTCTTAATTTATTGCAAATATGAGCTATTTAAACTGCACATTTTCACATGTTCTTTTTTACTAGTGCTGCTGGTTAATTAATTATTCAAACTTTTATTGTTAGAAACATTGCACAGCTTCACAAGTTAGTGTCTCAGTCAAGATCCATTCAACATGAGCTGTGTATTAGGAGACAAAACGCTTAAACTTTACATTTGATAAACTCTAACTTGCTCAACATGCTTCAAGCATTTTCCAAACAATAGATTCCTAATTAGAGTTGCCTTAGCATGACACAATGGCAGGATTTGTCACGCTGAGGTGAACTCTAATTGGGAGAACTGACTGAGCAGTCGCTCACATGAAAATGAACAAAGTTATGCAAAGAGATGAATCTAGAGAAGACAGATGCTGGGGCTGTCATTCACCAGACTTCTGACTGTGAGGCAGCCAGGAAAATCATCATGGATTTTGGGGATTTGACAAAGCTGATTGAAAATGATGGCTTCAGCTGAAATAAACTTGGGTAAAAAAAATTCTCCAGTCCACTAAAGGAAGACCTGAAGCATGTTATTTTTGATGTTTACACCCATATGAAAAGCTCTGGCCATATTATTATCTTCTTACAAAAAAAACAGCCTTAAATAGCACCTATTTTTATGTGTGCTCCTCTCACACCCACTTTTCTCTTAATTTCTTCTAAAGTACATCAGCTGCTCAGGGAGAGTGTCTTCCAAAGATTTTTTTATTTTGCTATTTTGCTGCCATTGTTGCCATCCTATTGGCTGACATGCTAATCTAAGCAAATGCATAATCAAAACATCTCTCTGTGCTGCTGCCTGTCTGTCCGCTCTCTATTATTTCTCCATCACTGCCATACCATCAAACAGATTAACCTTTTCTCTTTTGATGTGTAGGGTGATTCACCGTGTTTTCTTCCTCCCACCTTTTGTTCCTTTTTCTCCTCAGTCATCCACTTCACAAAACTACTCCACAATGCCTACAACTTGTGGGATTATGCAACCTTTCCTTAACAAGTTGTCCTAAGTTGAATTGCTTTGTGTCATTCAGAACATGGCAAGGGCTAATTTGGGTTAGCAAGATACATTACCTTTCTAATTTGAATGTTAATTAATGCTTTTTGAATACTCATTAAATGATTACTAATAACTTGTGCAAAATAACCTCCTGGTGCCCTTGCAGAGACTGCAGGATGGATCTGAACTGTAGAAAAGACACAACTCAGAGGCAAACCTACAACCTACAATGTGCTGTATTGTTTTAAATATAATACTGGACACTGATGATCTACATGTCGCTATTTACAGTTTTATTTTTCATTTTACATACTGTGCCAACTTTTTCTGATTTGGGGTTGTAATTTATAATAGTCCTTTAGCTTTTTACAAAGTATGGCATTACACAGCATATTGTGAAATGACTATATACTACACTACTAATACTACACTACACCACACTACTACATGTGGCATGGCAATAACACTCCTTTGTCTGAGCTTTTACTGGCTGAATATTTATTTTTTAACTCCCCACACCTCTCTGGTAGAGGTGGCAGCCTGGCGTCAGTTTTTAAGCCAACTTTAAAATGCCACTGTTTGCCCTCCAAGTCTTTCTCCAGTTTCGAGCTACAAACTTTTGCTTTAACTCTACACTGTCCTATTTTATGTGCAGTTATTTAACGTCCTTCCAAATCGAAGGAGTTTTTGCAGGAATTTGGGGAATTTTTGGCAGCTTTCACTCCACAGGGTGACTGTGTGTTGATTTGCGGGGATTTTTAATACCGTATTCATGTTAATTCCTCGTCCAACCAGCACTTAAATGACTTTAATGCTCTGCTGGACTCTTTTGACCTCAGTCAGTTTAGAGTATGCTCCACTCATAAACAGGGTGGCACATTAGACCTCTTCATCTCTCGAGGTCTATCTGTTTGCATAAAGGATGTGTCAAATATAGCCATATCTGACCACTTTTTTATTCACTTTGAGGTCTTGTTATCGACAAGGTGGCCCAGACCTGTGGCCCCCCTTCAATGCCATAGGATTATTACCCCTTCTACCCCTGCAGATTTTGCTGCTGTATTTTCAGCCTCAGAGCTCCAGTCTACAGATCAGGACCCCCCGGTTTGCCCGGAGGCATTCCTTGCTTCTCTAAACTCTCTCTACCTGTGCCCGGATCATGAACGCTGTTGCCCCCTTTAGGACGAGAAGGGCTGGAAATACCACTGTTCCATGGCAAACCAACACCACCCGGACCTTACGGAGGCGCTGCAGACGAGCCGAACAAAAATGGAAGAAAGACGGCTTGTTCGCCTCGTTACACATTCTGAGAAGTAGCCTCCGTGCCTATCAGGAGGCTGCAAAAAAGCTAATATTTGGCTAAGAATATAGGGACTCAATGTTGGCACAATGACAGGGAAA